TATATATATATATATATATATATATATGAAAAATATATCAAATATGCATGTGGGTACTCAAATGAAAGTTCTTAATGAGTGTAACATCGGGATGAGTTTATATCTTTAAAAAGATCAATATTTGAAAAAATGCAGTGCAATTTAACAATAGTCATTTTTTAGTAAAGCAAAATTTAATTTATTTATTGCTCATAAGTTACGACAGTCATATATTAATTAGTTTATTCTGATTAACAATAATTGTTTTAAAGATGGAATATTACAAGATTTAATCAGAGAAGGAGAAAAATTTTCCGAACTAATGTCGATGCCAGTTAAAAATGCATTAGGCCGAGATGTCAAAGTGGAATATGCAGAAGACATAACAAATGTAACAGATATATTGGATGCGACAAATGCCAGGAAGAATATATTTAACGATTCAGTGGAACTACAAAAATTAACACTCAAACAAACTATTTCAATTTGTACCTACGAAACAGATGCTGACCAGTCAATTAAATGGCTGAGTGATTTATTCAATGTGTTGATTAAAAATTACACTGAAGTAGGCTGTAGTGTAACTGAAATCCAGAAGCAAAAAGACGATTTGCAGAATTTTGAAGAAATTTCACAAGTTAGTAAATTTAACATTTCAATTTTACCGTACAGATAATTAATAAACATTATCATCAAAAATAGCCTAACTCTCAACATTTGTATTTAAAGGGTGCGTTCGAGTATGGCTGCCAATTATTAAATGGAGCAAGAATACTTCGGACTTCTTGCAGATTGAGTTTAGACACAAATGCAAGTTTATTCTCTCAACTAAGAGAAGCTTGGCGGCGCATTAGGTCTGTGAGTCAGGAACAGCTTACAAGACTCAGAGTTTGCACTATTTTTCATCGGAGTATTGATGAGGTTTGCAATTTTTTTTTTTTTTTGTTAAGTCAATTTATTTTTATTCAGTTCAATCTTTAATTAAATTTTAATTTTTTATGCACAGCACTGTCGAAGATTGACTGATTTAATAAAAATAGCAAACAATTCACTGTACTTAATAAATCAAAACAAGTCTTCTGGATCTGAGGATGCTCTGAGCGACCATTCATCTAGCTCGGAGTGCCTGAAAGAAGTCACAGAAAATCGGGAAAAACTCCTAGTGTATATTGACAGAACTGTCAAGCTGGGAAGATTATTGACCACCAGTTTAAAGGAACCTCTTTGCTCCGAATCAAGGTGATGCAAAATATACCAACTTATTAATTATTAGTTACAAATTAAGACTTTTTTTTCAAGCGAAAATTTTGTTTGAATCGTCAAAAAAAATGAAATTCATCACATAATTTTTTATATAAAAAATCAACGATTTATATCTCGAAAAATATCAATCTTAGCGATTTGTTTTAAAGGAATTTTGGTAATTATATAGAAGTGGGGTCAACCATTTTAATTTTCATTTTTTTCATCTAAATTTCTAATTGATTTTATTGATATATTTTTTTTTTTTTAAAATACATGAAAAAATGAACAATCTTAACAAATTTTAAATAAATGCGCCATAAAAGCAAGGATTTCTTTGCATTTAAAAAGATTTCTTTATATTTAAGAAATCATTTTTTAAACATCATTTCTTAGTATTTAAAAAATATTTCTTAAATACAAAGAAATCTTCTTAAATACTAAGAAATCCTTTTATAGGTGTAGAATCGAAAAAAAAAATTTGAAAATGTTAACTTTTCACCTAGTTATGGCCCAACATGGAATTGACCCCGCTCCTAAATAATTACCGGATTTTTTTTGTAGGAAATTTAATTTCCTACAAATTTTTACTCAATTTTTTTCTAAATGTTAATATTAAGAGCTAAAGTTTTTAAGAAATTTTCAACAGAACTTTTAATCTGGAGAAAAAAAATTATTATCATATATTTGATTAGAAAATAACTCTATAAAATTATAGTAGCAAAAAAAGCGTGGCTTTGATTTTTATCGGGGATGAGGAAGAGGGTGTGTTTTGTGCTCCTTATATGGTGAAAGCGTAGGCGGACTGAAGAAATAGTAGTAGTAGTAGTAATAGTAATAATCTATGTATGAGTGCGAGAAAGAACGATGAGAGTACACAAGCGTCTATTGACGTCGGCGCCGTCGCCGTCAGTCCTACGACGGATAGGAAGGTAGGTTGCAGTCCACGCCTAGTACTCACACCGTTGTTAGACGGTCCATCCGCGAAAGAGAAAGCCGGTTGTGATCACTGGCAAGCTCACGTGAGTAAGTAGACAAGTCAAATGTTCTGTTGACAAATCCATCACTCACATTAATATTTAATATTTAATTTTTAATACAAACAGTTATTATGTTATTAGTATAACCAGTTATAATATTTTTTATTATCAAATCTCAAGTAATAATTTATTATATTAGTATTTATTTTTTTACGCGTTAAACTAAAATAAGTTGTTACTTTTTCTAAGCTCCAGATTATCTCATTTACTTGACGTAATTTTCTCCGCAGCTAATCCTATTTTTGTCCTCTTGTCCCATCACCTTGTCCTCGTTTCCCAAAGTTATCTTCTAAGTATTAGAAAGTTTCCATTTTCCTCATAACTAAACAAAATTATCTTGGTTTTATTATTTTTTTTTATTTTTACTTCTTCACTGGTTTTTTTTTTTTTTTTTTTTTTTATTTGAATGCTTTGATTTAATTATTTTATTTAATATAATTAATGAATGTGGTTTTATAATGTAGGCAAAAAATTTTTCGGATAAGTAAATGTTGTACGCAATAAAAGTAGGACTTAAACGAAATTAGAACTCAACCTACGTCCACAAGATGCAGATACTTCTGTGAAGTGATATCAAACGAGCGTGGAATATATATTTTACCTACTGTCAAGTTTACGTAACTAGGATTTAACTGTATATTTAAATTCTTGATCACACAAACTTGTTTCCGTGACTATACCCATTCACAGTTAGAAATACGCTTGAAAAAATAAAAAACTACTTTATCTCTAATCTCTATTTCTTTACTTAATTATTTTTATTTATTTATTAAAATTTTTTTTTATGTATACAATGAGAAAAAAATTTTTTTTCTTAAGAAAAGAAATAAAAATTGATAAAAAATTTTTTTTCTAGATTTGGAACAGAAAATTTCAAAAATGCTCTATAACTATAACTATATAAATAATTAAGAAATGACCTTGTATCTTGTGAATTATTGATATTTTTTTAGATATAAACTCATCCCGATGTTACACTCATCAAGACCTTTGATTTGAATACCCACATCAATTTTTCATATATTTATTTATATATATTATATATATGTACATATGAAAAATATATGAAAATGCATGTGGGTACTCAAATGAAAGCTCTTGATGAGTGTATCATCAGGATGAGCTTATATCTTTAAAAAGGTCAATATTTAAGAAATGACCTTGTATCTTGTGAACTATTGACATTTTTAAAGATATAAGCTCATCCTGATGTTACACTCATCGAGACCTTTCATTTAAGTACCCATATCAATTTTTCATATATTTGATATATTCATATATATTATATATATGTATATATGATAAATATATCAAAAGTGCATGTGGGTACTCAAATGAAAGCTCTCGATAAGTATAACATCGGGACGAGCTTATATCTTAAAAAATCTCAATAGTTAAAAAAGTACAGTGCAATTTAACGAAAGTCATATTTTCTCTCAATGCATTAAGTGAAAACTAGTAAGCAATTCTTTCAAAAAAACTAAATTTTATTAACGCACAATTTTTTTTTCAGGATGTCGACGTCAAAAGAGGACGTGTGTACTACAGAGAGCAGAAATTTATCAGCCGTTGAAGCTATTTCGGAAAAACTTGCTGAAGTAACAAGACTCGCAGCAAAATTAGACGCTAAATTGGACGAAGCTGGTGTGCGAGTTAAATTTACGAAGGATGAAAAAGATAAAATAGAGAGTATTGAATTTTCATCTTACCGCACTGCAAGTCCGTCTTCACTTGGTACGGTAATTGAATTACCTCATAAAGATCCTGGTGTTATCAATAATAATGGCAACCATAATGAAGATGATGATCATAATGATAATGAGGAGTTGTTATACGAAGAAAATAAGCCTCAGCCCAATGGGATAAATAATAATGGAGTTTGCAATGAAAATACTTCTTGTGAGTATCATAAAAATAATAATGATGTTCAACAAGTAAGTGCGTCGGAAACGGAAGAAATAAATACCGAAGAGTACACGACTGCAACCGAATGTTCATTGACACCAGTTGCAAGATCTCGTAGTGATTCCTTCGTAACAATATCAGAGTGTGATGACATTTTATCTGATTTATATCGGTATGTATATTTAATTTAAAAAGATACATAAGTGTGTTGTTTATATAATATATATATATATATATATATATATATATATATATATAGATATTAAAAGTATATTTATATTAATGATCGTTTGGTTCGACCAGAAGCCTGCTATAATCTATACTATTCGGCAAGGGTTCTAAGAAATGAATTTATTTTCAGAGTGGAGGGAGTTGGAAACGTGGAGTATCATCAGGTCGTCGATGGTTTAGTAACGTCTGAAACGTCTGGGCTTGTTGATCAACTTAAGAAGATGAGTAAATCGCCGGAATTAATAGTCGATATCAATCAAAATGTTTCAGACGTTAAGAAGACTAATGCCACTTCAATCATTGAAACTATTGAGGTTTTTATTTTTTTTTTATTATTATTAGCGTGGTTATTGTTTGTAATTGCATCCTTTTTGAAATACCCTTTAGGGTAATTTTTATTGTTATTGTTGTTGTTGTTGTTATTGAATATTATTTTATATTTGATTGGCAGGAAACCTCTGGGAAAGTTGTTAAAGAAGTAACGGAAGTAACAACTCTTCGTGTATCTCACGATACTAAATTTGGTGTTGCTTCTTACAAATTGACTTCTAATATCCTTACGGAGAATAAAGAGCACAGAAATGCCGTCGGTATTCTTGATGCAAGTCATCAATATACCAATGGGTGTTATAATGGAGTTTATCATGATGACAAAGGTATTTCTTTATGTTATTAATCATACATTATAATTATTATTTATTTATTTTTTCGTTAAATATTGTCATCACTACTAAATATTCCTTCTCTGATACTCTAAGCTACTTTTAATTATTAATATGATAAAACAAAGAATATTTAAGCTGCATTCGAAAATACTCCATCTCTAGATACGTAATTAAGAAATGACCTTGTATCTTGAGAACTATAGGAATTTTTAAAGATATAAGCTCATCCCGATGTTACACTCATCAAGACCTTTCATTTGAATACCCACATCAATTTTTCATATATTTTATATATTTATATATGTTATATATATGTATACATGAAAAATATATCAAAAATGCATGTGGGTATTCAAATGAAAACTCTTGACAAGTATAGCATCGGGATGAGCTTATATCTTAAAAAATGTCTAAATTAAAAAATTACCTTGTATCTCGAGAACTATTGACATTTTAAAAGATATAAGCTCATCCTGACATTACACTCGTCGAGACCTTTCATTTGAGTACCCACATCAATTTTTCATATATTTTATATATTTATATATGTTATATATATGTATATTTGTATATATGAAAAATATATTAAAAATGCATGTGGGTACTCAAATGAAAGCTCTTGATGAGTGTAACATCAGGATGAACTTATATCTTTAAAAACGACAATCAATTCATCATATATATTCTTCTTTTACTCAAAAAAAAAAAATAATATTGATTTTTCTTACAAATACCTGAAATCTGTGTCTATAAAATCATATAAAGTACATCAAAAAATGAAGAAGAAATGTAGAAATAATTTTTTTATAAAATTTCAACATTTTGTCCGTGAATTTTGATATAAAAATAAATAATTACTGAATTTTTACAATAGATACCAGTGCGCAGCATTCACGTGAAGAAATATCAATTTCCGAATCAGAAGTTCCATCAAAGTTAGAAAACGGGCATGCATGTCGGCATTCAAAAATAGTAAAAGAGTCAACGAGTGAATACAAATTAAAGTTACCTCCTGACGAGCTTAAAAATGTTAGATTTTTAGACACGAAGGGCAATAATGACAGCGGTATCGAGATGCCATTGAAGCACAACGAAAGATTAGAGACGAGCGAAGAAGAAGAAGAAGAAGAAGAAGAAGAAGAAGATAATGATAATAGCGAATATTTTGAAAAATTGAAAATGGTAAGCTGCACGCAAGTTGTCACTGATAATAATCAACCAGTGATTTTGCATGGTTTGCAGTGTGAGAATTGAGATAAAATTGCTTCTTTAAATTACTCGCTCATCAAACATCCTATGTATTTTTTTTTGTTATTAATTATTAATTATTAATTCTAAATATTTTTTGTTAACTTTACAATGTTTATATTTATGTTGAAGTTTGTTATATTTTATTCTAAAAAAAATTATATATTAATATAATATAACATTAAATAATAATATATAAGAAGAGATAATATAAAATATTACACAATAGTATTATGTGAAAGTGTTTAATGACACATTAATATAAATTAAAAAATCACATTAATTAAAAAAAAAAGAAAAGAAGAAATAAAAAATAAATTATACTTTACTTTATAATTTATCAAAAATTTGATCAGAGTCACGCATACATACAGATGTCCTTTTCTCGAGGATTATTTTAACGGTAAGAAGGCTCAGGTAAAAAGAGAGAGAGAGAGGGAGAGACAACCAACAAGAAACACAACAGAGCCAGGTAGTATGTATACAAACTTATAAAAAATAAATAAAGCTGAGTACATAAGCATGAGCATGAGTTTAAATGAGACAGAATAAAATCCCTCTACTCTCGTGATCGTTCCCCTTACCGCGAAACTCTCAGCTCTAGAGGATCCCCCGACTCTGTTTCTGTTTAGCGGCCTCCAGTTAAAGTTAGTCAGTTAGTGTCGGATGAGCCGGCTTGCCAGCCGGTTGTCGTGGTCCTTGTATACATCTACCTCGATAATAAAACGTGTGTGTTGTTGGCTTTTAATAATAAGTGATGTGACATGTGCGATCACGATAAAATATCAGTGTTGTAGACGTTTAAAAATTTTTTATATCTCTTCTCGACTTGTTTTTTTACTCTAAAATTTAATATATCATCTTTGTTTTTATTTCTTCTTACTTTTTATTCATCTTCTTTATCTCGGGCTTTGTTAGTGGATCTGATACACTACACACAAGTATTGCGAAAGGTCGATTTGGTAATTGCTAAAAATGTACCGATGAATATAGATGGATGTTATCTATAGTTGTTGCTCACGTATGCTCACATACGTAATTTTATGTTTAGTTGATCGCTTTATATATACGTAATACATATTTTCACTCTATATATAGATTGTTATTATTACTACCGGCATACTTCGGCAGACTTCTTAACACTTGAAGTTTTAATATTGACTCATTTAATTTTATTTAATAACAATTATTGTTATTACTACCATCAAATATTTCTTCTTTGATACTCTGATTAAGCTATTTCTTCATTTAAAAAATTTTTTTGGATCATTTGACAGCTCAATTTTTTCAATTATTACTTTTATATATTCTTCTTTTACATTAAAAAAATTTTTATTCATTTCTTCTTATAAAAATTTTCTATTTAAAATTGTTTAAAATATTTCATAAAATAAAGAAGAAATATTCTAAATTTTTCAATTATTTTACATTTGAAAAATTAATATCAATTTCTTCTTATAAATTGAAATAATTTAATATCAAACAAAGATTAATTATAACCCTAAATTTTTTTAATTGTTTTATATATTCTTCTTTTAAATTAAAAATAATTAATAATTATTACTTCCTAAAGAACCAACAAATTTGTTCCTATAAATTTATATAAAGTGTATCTTAAAACAAAGAAGAAATATAAGCTTAAATTTTTCAATTATTTTACATATTCTTCTTTTATATTTATAAAATTAATATTTCTTCTTATAAATTAAGACAATTTGTCTATAAAATTATTTAAAATATTTAATAAAACAAAGATTAAGATAACCCTAAATTTTTAAAATTATTTTACTTATTCTTCTTTATAATTAAAATTAATTTTTATTTGTTTCTCCCTATATCATACAAACTCTATCATAAAACAAAGAAGAAATAAAAGCCCAAATTTTTTAATAATTAATCTTAAAAATTCCAAAAATTAATTTATATTTCTTCCCAAAAATTTAAATAATTCCCGCCTATAAAATCATTTAAAATTAAATATAACCCTAAATTATTTTACATATTCTTCTTTATAATTAAAAATAATTTTTATTTATTTCTTCTTATTGAACAAAAAATTTCTGCTTATAAAATCATAAAGAAAAAATACAAGCATATTCTTTTTTGGCGTTAAAAAAAAAAAATAATATATATTTCTTCGTATTAATACCATAAATTTCAGCCCATAAAATAATATAAAGTATGTCATAAAACAAAGAAGAAATATAAAAATAATTTTTTCAATATTAATATTTTATCCGGGGCTCGCGATATAAAAAATAAGTACATTACATAACGTAACAAATTTAAAAAGTTATTTATATTACAGAAAAAAAAAATAAAAATATTTTTTAAATAAAAAATCCATCTGGCGGGTGGTGAGCATTATTAAATATTTTTCCATTGGCCCGCGTTTTCTCGTTCATTCGGAGAACGCCTTCACCCAGTCGGTCCGGTTTTAAACTTGTGGTTCTCTCGCCCGCACACGTACGTATACGTCGATGACATCATATAGACATACATTAAAGCGTGCACACACGCATCAACATTAATATAACGATATGCGTGTAACGTGCAATGCCGGGAGAGTTAAAAAATAACATTTCATTCAAACGGACATTTTCAACCTACAAAAAAATATTTAAATTATTATTTTAAAAACTGTATTAAATTTCTTCTTTCACTTTTATTTAATTTATTTTTTTTTTTTTATTACGTCAACTATTAAATAACATCTATCTGGATCTTTGACCTTGTTATTCAATTGTGCTTGTGGATAATGATAGTAATAATAATAATTAAGTATGAGTGATGGGTAATAAACAGTAAATTATAAAGTCAACCTTGAAAATTTTAGAGGGTGCATTTAATTGTTAGAAATTTAAAATTCAAAATAAGGTTATAAATATAAATATATAAATACGGAGTAAAAATGGTCGACGGGTACGATTCTATGGAGCCTGGAGAAAATCCAGATGGTCATAATAATTCAGATTCACAAACTAACGATCGTTCATTCTGTGAAAATGATTTGGAACGTGCCAAGGACTCTGATTCTCAACTGACACCTACGACTACTATTAGCACTATCGCACTGCAGAGCGGTGACACACGACTTGTCATTGCTCTTCTTCAAGTAAGAAACTCACTAAAAATATTTATACTATTATTAGTAATTCATATTTTATTTTACTAGAATTTGAATTTACGCGCGCAAGCGCGCGCTTGACTATGGAATTTGCATATATTTTCATGCTTATGATATATTCGACCAATCACGTTACGAATAGTTTGATGCCACATACATTTCATCTCAATTTTATATTAGGATAATATATTAAAATAATTTTCTTGTAGTTTAAAAAATTTTTTTTAAATATATTTAAGAAATTAAAATTTATAGATTTTTTTATATTTCTTCTTTCATATTATTAAAACTAAAAATATGTTTTTTTTATAATTTAACATATTTTTTTATTTTAATTTTTTAAAGAAGAAATATTAAAAGTTAAATTTTCAGAGAATAAAGATATATTTTTAACATATAAATATTTTTTTAATATAAAAAATGTTTATTAAAGCTCATAAAAATTAACTTCATTGAAGAGAAAAAAATTCTTACTCAAATTTATTAAAAAATAATTTTTAAAGAACTAAATAAAGATTTTGTTTGATTCTAAGCAATAAAATTATCTTCTCACTCTAAACTTTCTTTCTCGAAAAACAAGTTAAATTTTTTACTAGTAAATTATTTTCATATTCTATACTAAGAGGAAGAAATCATTAATATTTTTATATTAAAAACAAAACTAAAAAATTGCCAAAATTTGGATGCATACAATACATTAAAAATAATTAATTTGACTGTAGAATTAAATTTTGAATTAAAAAAATGAAATTTTGAAAAATTTTCTTGTCTTGAATCACATAAATTTTACTTAAATTATTAAAAATTGCTCAGTTTAAGATTTTTTGCCTTTAAGTCAATAAGAAACTCTTTAAAATGATTTTTTTGACTCCAAAATATTTCTCTTGAATCTTGAATTTTTTTTTTTCACTCTATATATGATCTTCACATACATATAGTCTTCATATAAGCTTATAAAAATTTTCTTCTTTCTAAAATCCAAAAATACACCTAAAATAGATAAAAATATATAAAATAAATAAATTTTTGCCCGAGAAGAAATCGGAGCAAGAAAAAATACCCACTGCTCATCATATGATATCGATTCAGATAAAATTAGTGTTGATGGTTTTGATCCAGCGATGTTGCGGCTGTCAAGTATCATATGATAGTCAGTGGGCAGACTAAGAGTCCCCGAGGGCATTGGAATATAAAATACCAAGTCTGGATGTCTTTCGCACCAGTCAGATCTCAATACAACTATACTATACTATAACATATCACCATAAGGTGTTTTCTTCAGCGGTTTTGTTTATTTATTTATTTACCTTTATAAAGAGTCTAGTCATAGCCATATGTTATATGTTGTATTATTATAAATTACACACATTATAATTCCTAACCAGTTTAGTTATAATAGCCAGACAAGATTAAGATTGAGCATTGAGTATTGAGATCTTCAGAGGTAAGGACAAATGCACCTCCTCCGCATTATCTTCATATTTCTTCTTCCTCAATGGGTCATTACACCCACTTTCAAAAGATTATTCTTCTTTATTAGTATTCATCAATATTAAAATCAAAATCAAAATCAAGATTAATAATATTATTGAAGGGGTTCTTCTTTATTTTATTTTTGTAATGTACATATATGACAAATATTTAAAAACTTTTTAGCTTTTTTTATTGAATTTCTTATATGCAATTTTGGCTTTGGAATTTTTTTTAAGCTTAGAATATGTTTGCAAAGTGATTGACAAAAAAAATTTATTTTAATATTCATTTTTATATTAAAAAAATCCTAGTTGAATTTTTTTATTAATTTAACAAAAAAAAGTTATAAAAATATGAAAATTTAAAATAATTATAGACAAAAAAAATTAAACTATTTTTGAACTACTTTCGTTTAATTTTAATTTAGAAAAGTAATAAAAATCTAGGTTATGCATGTGACTAAATGGGCAATAAAAATCTATATTTATTAAAAACAATTCCGGAAACAGCACCTGAAACTTTTATAAAATATAATTATAATTTATATACTTTTTCCCTATACAATACAACTGTTTTCGCTAGACAGACTCTCTTTAATCAATAAATAAA